TTTTTCAGGAATTATTTAACGTCGCAGTCAGGACGACGATCACAGCCAGATTCAATCCGAGTCCCCAACCAGAAATGTTTATAGACGGTCTGGTGAGCATCTCATAGAGGCTGCCATGCCCGAGTTGACCCCTATTTGCGCAAGCAGCAGATCCAAGGACTTGGGCCCAAGCATGCGTGTACTAGTCCCAGCGGGTTGGCATGGTGACCGTGACCCGAGTGCTTCGTCCAGGGCCCTTCAGAGGCTACGCCTGTCTCCCAGCAGCTTGCTGCCCAGGAAGAATGTCGACTCTCAAGGTTGAGCGCTCGCGACATCTCACATCAAGAGGACTCTCAAGACAGAACTCACTTCCTCACGGTAAGAAGAGATGAAGAGGGTAGATAAGGAAGAGTGCAACGAACCTCATTAATGCTGCCCCCAACCACAGATTTCTCACCGGTAACCTGATGTGCAATTATGATGACCGGTCTTTGCTTCGGCACAACCAACAGCAGAATGCGGTTCCACCTCAGCTTAATATGTCACATCAGCGAGTTCTCATCATCCAACATACATCCGGTATGTCACCACATAGCTCCCCGGCGCGCCCACTCTACCCTGGGCCGCCTAACGTTCAACGCCGATGCCGTATCACTGCCCCACACCTCATGCGAAGCACCAAATAGCTATTGCGAAGAACCAATGAAGCGCAATATGAACCAGCTCCGATACCAAATTGCAAGGAAAATAAGCAACAGCGAGATGACAATCCCAGATCACACCATCACATTGCAAGCCAAATAGTCACACCGTGTCCAGATAGCAGCATTGCACCAATAATACACCAATGGAGTTTCGTAGCACTGAAAACCAATGTCCGTGGAGAGCACACTCTCTCCTCTCAACAAAAGAGTCCAGTTCCCTTACACTCACACTTGGCGCKCAGCGCCCAGCCTACTCCTACACAGCTACTACAGACTACAAAAAGACAATGCAACTGTTGACATCAGCAGCAGCCCAAAGTACTTGAAGATGCCGCCCATGCAGACCATCGGCAATACAAGGTACGTGCCCTCATATCATCATCATCATCGTCATCCTTCACCTATCCCTTGACTTCACCCACACCCGTCCTCTCTGTCACCCGAAGACCACCCCTGCGCCTCACTGTAGTCCAAGCCCACCAGCTATGGTGGCTGGGCTATGGCGCTGCCCTCAGCAGCGCCCTCCTCCTCTGCACGACCGCACGTGCTGCACCTCGCCTCTCAGCGCTAGCAGCAGCCTACGAGCATAAGCTCCAGCAGCGCTGCCGCCCAGCATGCGAGTGCCTGAATGAGGCAGCCAGGGCCGGGCTCTCTCCTTTATGGAAAGAGTTGGGCTGCTCACGCAGCCTGGATGCCTTGGCCTGGGCCCAGAAGCTTCCGGAAGGCCCCAGGAGGCTGCCTGGATGCAGCAGCTACTGAGCTGCTGGGCCTCGTTCGGTTGGGCGCCCAACTGTCTCTGTATGAGGCTGCGAATCACGGCCAGGGCCTGCATTCTTTGGAAAGGCCCGGTAGGCCGTGGAAATGTCCCTGTTGCTCGGCCTGTGTTTCTTTCAACCAACTGGCGCGTAGCAACTGCCTGAACCCCAAATATGAAATTGACAGTCAAAGGCCCTTTTGCAAAAGCCAGGCCCGCCTTCACTTAGGGCGGGTAAGGCTGCAGACAGGGGCCCATAGGCCTACCGAGGACCCTGATCCTCGCATCCGGATGGTCCGGATCCCTGTCCGAAGGTCCGGATCGTTTTGATATTAAGGGTATACTCACACTACACCCTCAAAATGCACAATCATGAAATGAGCGGCCAGATCGAGTCCTCCTTTTCATCAGGACTCTCTCGATCTGGCCACTGGTTTTGCAATTTTGCGATTTTGCATGCCTAGTCTGAGTATGCCCTAAATGTGTCTACTGTGAATTCACAGATATATTTGGTCAAGCAGTCCAGATGTATTGTGAGTAAATGGTCGAGATCAAAATGAAGCTGAAAAAAAAAAAAAAAAGAGTTCTAAAGTATGCTCTTATCATTGTTATGTGGCATGCTGGTGGCATGCTGTTAATGGTAATGAGAGCGGCTTTTTCGCCAAGAATGGTCTGCTTCATTGGCATGGCACCAGCATGACGCATTACAGGACAGTTTCAAACCTGTGTTTTTTCAGCCGCATTTGAATCTTGGGTGCCCATTTGATCACATGAAGCAGACTTGCTCAAAGCTTCTGTTTGCTTTGCACAACGACCATGATCTGCTTCATTGGCTGCCTTTGGCCAGCGTGGCTTTGGCCAAAAATGCACTGTCGCGAAGAAGTGTATGCGGCGGCATTACAGCACCATGATATATAAGCTGAAAGCTTAGCTGTATATATAGCTCGGCTTCGCCCCGTACCGTGTCTAGAGCTCGGCTTCACGCGTTGAGTGTCTATAGCAAAGTTTGGACTTTTGCGTATGATGCGGCAATTCATTTTCGGCCCAGCACACAGATTCATTCACAAGCTAATAGCTGAGCTATGCATAGGTCACGATGTCTATAGCTCGGCTTCGCCCGTACAGTGTCTATAGCAAAGTTTGAACTTTGAACTTTTGGGTATGATGCGGCTATTAGTTTTCGGCCAAGCATACAGATTCATTCACAAGCTAATAGCTGAGCTATGTATAGGTCACGGTGTCTATAGCTCGGCTTCACACGTACCGTGTCGATAGCAAACTTTGAACATTTGCGTATGATGCGGCGATTCATTTTCGGCCAAGCATACAGAATATTACAGATTCATTCACAAGCTAATAGCTGAGCTATGTATAGGTCAGGGTGTCTATAGCTCGGCTTCGCCCGTACAGTGTCTATAGCAAACTTTGAACTTTTGCGTATGATGCSGCTATTCGTTTTCGGCCAAGCATACAGATTCAGTCACAAGCTAATAGCTGAGCTACGTATAGGTCAGCCTAGCCCGTGCAGTGTCTATAGCGAACTATGAAGTTTCCTTTTTGAGAGGTAGTCAAGTCTTTCCTACAACATGGCTTCCCAACAGAGATGGGCTGGCTATAGCACATCTATGTATAGCTATGTTCGGCCTTGGATCGCCAACTTGCATTAACGTAGATGGGCAGCCTAGGCCAAACAGAGATGGGCTGCACAGAGTTTGCTTTCTTTATCAGGCTCGTCAACTTGCATTAAGTTCATTAACCCCTTTTCTCTGGGCTTTTGAAGAGAGAAAAATTGTCTGAATTCTATGAAACTGCAGCGTTTAACTACATCCCCGGTCTATAGCTGTGAGTGAAGGATGGGTTATAGTATGGCAACATATGAGTCGATAAGTGTAGTCTATAGACTTTAGAGTCTAGACTATGCAGTGTGACTGTGTAATGCAAGCGGGGGAGGGGACAAGGGGGGAGGGGAGGGGGGAGAGGGGAGAGGGAGGTGGAATGTGTGAAAGAGAACAATGTGGCTTGGCTGGTATGTAGTGTTTGTTTGTTCCCTGAGAATCTCTGACGACAAGAATTGCTGCTGTCACTTCTTTTCAGAAATGCAAAACCATCGCCATAGTTTGTCCAGTTCTGTTCACTACGTCCAGGCCTGGGGACAGAAAGCCTGCCAGTCTATGTCTAGGCTATGTCGTCCATGTCCAGGCTATCTTGTCTACGTCCATGCCATGTTGTCTATGTCCAGGCTATGTTGGCTATGCCCAGTCTACATTGTCTATCTCTAGTCTATGTTGTGTCGAGGCTATGTCCAGTCTATGTCCAAGCTATGTCGTCTTTGTCCAGGCTATGCTGGTTACATCCAGGCTATGCCGTCCATGTCCTGGCTATGTCATCTATGTCCAGGCTATGTCCACTATGTCCAGGCTACGTTGGTTATGTCCAGTCTATGTTGTGTCTAGGCTATGTCGTCTATGACCAGGGCAGTCTATGTTGTGTCCAGGCTATGTTGTCTATGTCCAGGCTATCTTGTCTCTGTCCAGTCTATACTGACTCTATGCTGGGTTTGTTCACTCTATGTTGGCTATGTGCAGACTATGTTGTCTATCTCCAGTCTATGCTGTCTCTCTCCAGGCTTTGTTGGCTTTGGCCTGGCTGCATTGGCTCTGTCCGGTCTATGCTGGCTATGTCCAGTCCATTTGTGTTAGTTGTGTGACATGCTCCCTGGAAAAAAAACAAAAGGCGATCTAGGCTACCAGCCGGGCCGCCCGGGTCCTGGGTGGCCAGCCCGTGCACAGACGGACCAGAGAAGGTCCCAGCAAAAAAAAAAAAAAAAAAAAAAACCC